TACATGATCTTCGATTGCATCATCAGACCCTAGAGAAATTTAACCAAAAAAATTTCGTGAATGTTTTGCTTAGTAGATCAGAAGAACATTGGGAAAATAAAAATTGAACCTTTTTTCAAACACCAAATTGACCTGGATCAGGGTGAAAAAAGGTCATGTCTTTTTGAAAGTTATCTTTTTTGGAGATTCTCCAGTAATCAAGGAACAAACTTTTCCTTATTATGTTTCAATAAAGTGGAACAAGTCTCTTGTGGTGAATCATATTCTTATAACAAAGAGATATATTTGAAGAAATTCTGTGGAATTTGAAGAGATGTGATTCGTAGTGCTAATATTATCTCAACTCTCATTGCAGGTTAATTTGCAGAGTAGGTATGCCACTTGCATGTCTGGGAACTCTACTTCCAGGAGGATCTTCACTACTGAGGCATCACCTGAGAAGCTAAACTCTGCTGGGTGAGTCATTTTTAATGCTTCTAAGCGTTTTACTTTTATAGAGACATGAATTTAGTGGTGATGTTTTCTTTCTGAGTAGGTCTAAGGGGCATGATATGCTTGCACCTTTTACTGCTGGGTGGCAGAGTACTGATTTAGATCCCTTGGTCATTGCAAAGTCTGAGGTACATATAAAAAAAAAAAAGTCTTTTTTCTTTTTCTTTTTGATCAACTGTGACATTTTTCTTTCGTTTTTTAATGTTTTACAGGGAAGTTATGTGTATGATGCCAATGGGAAAAAGTATCTTGACTCTCTCGCTGGTTTATGGTGTACTGCCTTAGGTATTCTTCCTTCTATTACTATACAAGTTTCTTGATGTTTTGACTTCTTACATACCTGCAAGTGTTAGCATTGTGTCATTGATATCTGAAATTTTGCAGGAGGAAATGAGCCGCGGCTTGTTTCTGCTGCTGTTAAGCAGTTGAACACCTTACCGTTTTACCACTCCTTTTGGAACCGTACTACTAAACCTTCTCTGGTACTCAAGACTTTTCCTTTTGGTGTCATTTTTATTATCTTTTCCTACAGTGTCCTGCTACTTTCTGTGTGCTGTTCAGACTCAGAGCAGTATATACTTGATGGGTTATCAATGATAATTTGAGCACTGTGATGTTTTCCCTATTAAACAGGATCTTGCTAAGGATCTTTTAGAGATGTTCACGGCCAACAAAATGGCCAAAGCATTTTTTACAAGCGGTGGATCAGATGCCAACGATACTCAGGTTTCTATAATTATACTTCAAACCTTGATCTCCTGTTTTCTAAGTTGTCGACCTATAAGAGTTGTTTATGTATCTTCTGTATGTATAATGCAGGTCAAGCTGGTTTGGTATTACAATAACGCACTTGGAAGGCCTGAGAAGAAAAAATTTATCGCGAGAAATAAATCGTGAGATAGGATATTTGATTGTCATTTTCCCTGTCTGTTTTTATAAGATCTGAGTGCGCTTATAAGTGCGGTGTTGTCATATTCAGGTACCATGGCTCCACTCTAATATCAGCAAGTTTGTCCGGGTAGGATAAAAGTTCCTCTGATATTCTTTTTAGAAGTGTTTAAGATTCTTTCTTTTCCCTAACAAATTTAATTTGTCGTTCCAGCCTTCCACCGCTGCACCATAATTTTGATTTACCTGCACCATTTGTGCTGCACACAGATTGCCCTCATTATTGGCGTTTTCATCTTCCAGGTATGAATGATTCTCACTTCCATTTTAAACAGTAAAAGTAATGTGTTATTGCAACTTTTGAATTGTTTGTTCAGGTGAAACGGAAGAGGAGTTCTCAACCAGATTAGCCAAGAATTTAGAGGATCTAATCATCAAAGAGGGACCAGAAACTGTAAACTTCTATAGTTACTTACGCAAATTTCGGACTTTATGCATTAAATATGATGTTGGCATCTCAGTCTAACAGAAATGTCTTCTTAATAGATTGGTGCTTTTATAGCTGAACCAGTCATGGGTGCTGGGGGTGTGATACCTCCACCTGCTACCTACTTTGAAAAGGTCATTTTCGGAAACTTTGTTGGTACTAAGTACAACTAGCATGATATTGGGCTCTTTTTGCCGTTTCATTTTGTTTATCCGAGTGTTTTTTCTCTTTCTGTGCTGCAGGTCCAAGCTGTTGTTAAGAAGTATGATATCTTGTTCATTGCTGATGAGGTATGTGCATATCTTATTGAACCATGTTTACTATCAGTCCACACAGGAAGAAGAAGATCAAGAAGAAGATGTATCATTATCCGTTTTTAATTTGTTTGGCCTTTTAGGTGATATGTGCATTTGGAAGGCTCGGGACAATGTTTGGCTGTGACAAATACAACATTAAGCCAGATCTTGTGAGCCTAGCTAAGGTGAGATTTTGCAAGCTGATTAGTGATTAGTAGCTTTTTTTTTTTTTTGTTGGCAAATTTCCCCTGACATGTTTTAAATGTTATTAATTTGCAGGCACTGTCTTCAGCATATATGCCGATTGGAGCCATTCTTATGAGTCAAGAAGTGGCAGATGTCATTTATTCTCAAAGCAACAAGCTAGGTACTTTTGTAAACTAATTAATGGTCACCGCAGTAATATTCCAATGTTCTGATATTAATGCTGGTAAAAAATTCTATATTTCAGGTATTTTCTCGCATGGATTTACTTATTCTGGTCATCCAGTTTCATGTGCTGTAGCAATCGAAGCGTTAAAGATATACAAGTAAGTTTGTCACTTTGCTCGTTCATGCAAGTGAGCCAGTTTTTAGATTGTGATTTGCCAAAAACATCAAAACCTGTCACACAGCTGATAAAGTTTCTCGTTCCTCTATTCTTACTGCACTTTTTTGACGTTCATATTCATATTACAGGGAGAGGAACATACCAGAGTATGTCGCCAAAGTTGCCCCAAGGTTTCAAGATGGACTTAAAGCTTTTGCCTCTAGTAGTCCTATTATTGGAGAGGTACAATTTCTCTTGGTCCTTTACTTACCAGATTTTATTCAATAAGAAGTATTTTACTGAGGACATTATGCGATGGTTATCAGATAAGAGGAACAGGTTTGATTCTCGGGACTGAGTTTGTAGACAATAAATCCCCAAACGAACCATTTCCACCAGAATGGGGTAAAAAGATCTCTCTAATGACCAAACATTAAAGTCTCTTTTCTCCTACACTCACTTACCTTGCTACACCAATTTCAATTGATGTTTACAGGTGTTGGCGCATACTTTGGAGCCGAGTGCCAGAAGCGCGGGATGTTAGTCCGTGTTGCAGGTGATAGCATAATGATGTCTCCACCGCTCATTATCTCACCTGAAGAGATCGATGAGGTAAAATGTCCCAATCTTGAGACATTAAGATAGCTATTGTCTGCTAAATCTTGCGACTAATTCACTGAAACTCTCTCTCTCTCTCTCTCTTTCGTTTAGTTGATTTCTATCTATGGGAAAGCATTGAAGGCAACGGAAGAGAAGGTAAAAGAACTCAAGACTCAGCACAAGAAGTGAGAAGCAGAGTTCAAATGATGTTGATGAAAATGTTTTTTTTAGATTCTCAAAGTTTGGATCTTTTGTTTTTAACACACAAGTCTTTTAATAAGTGCATTTTAATGAGAGATAAACAATAATGGGACATCGCACGATGTGATCAAAAATCATCTAACCAACCCAAATATGCAGAGACATTGACTATAATTGTTTGCAATGCTAACTGAGACAGGAACTGTGAAAGATTCTTCTCAGACTGTGACAACCATAGACCAATCCGAACCGGAATGGCTCATAGACTTTTTGGTCCAAAACTTCAACAATAGCGAAGCTCTTTTGAATAGTTAACTAGGATCGGACCCGCGGTCCACCGCGAGAGAATATTGGTTTACATACGTTGCGTTTAATATTGTGTGTGTTTTTTAGTAGAACGAATCGTGTAGTATACTTATAAATATTCATAATAACGAAAATGTTTTTTAGTAGAGAAAATGTAAAATTGTTTATAAATATACCCATCGTATTAATTATGATTTACAAAATAGAATTTTGTGTTTTAAAATTCTAAAGTTAGATGATTCATGGGAATTAAAGCAGTCAAAATAGGTCAAAAACCGCGGGTCGAGCCCACATCATCTCACTATGGGGCAGATTTGGGAAAATATATTAAACCCGCAAATAAACGGGTCACATGGATTAATTCGCAGTAGGTCATAGGTTTAATCGGTTTTCATCCGCGGGTTGGCGGATCAGCCCGCATATTAGTATTTATTGATAAAATTATAATTTATTCAACATGTGGTAATTTAAACAAACTTTTAATAGTATTTTTATTTATTTATTTATTTTATTAGTATTTTAAATTTTGGTTACTTTAAAATTATTTAAACAAAATCCATGTACAATTCCACAAATCCGCATACATTCGCGGGACGGTTTTGTATTTCATATATGCTACCCGCGGGTCGTGCGAATCGACTAACTACAAGTCAAAATATTTTTTGTCTATCGCAAAACGGACTTAACGGGACCAATCAACTCGCTTTGACAGTTCTAATGAGAATATTATTTAGTCATACAACAAAATGAAGTTTGGACATAGTAATAATAAAATATGTATCTTATTTGTTAGATGAGAGATTGAAAGATGAAGTATAATGATTAAAACAGATGGATTATTTGTGATAAATTTTCTAGAAATCTTTAGAAGCAAATAAAATATCTTTCAATTAATGATAATTGGCTAAAATGAGCGAAATTAATGACAAAAACGTTGATTGTTATGGAATTAGTCCCAAAAATATATGAACAAATTTATTATACGTAATTAATGTATAATATTGTTCGGAATATGCTTTTATTATTAGTTATCATAAGTACAATCAGATTTTATTTGATTTCCATAAATATTTGATTTTATTTCGATTTTTCATTATTAATTCGAATTTATATTCCAAAAAAAATTCAAAGATCCGATTTCAGAATTTCGGGTTAATTTTCTGATTTTAACCCGACCCATTTTCATTTGTACTTCTCTTTTAATAGTATAGAGATTTATATAACATTGAGAAAAAAAACGATCAAGGGATTAAGAGAGTTTCTTGATTGGAGAACATCCATTATCATGGAACGCGATCAAATCAGCCTGGATTTTGGAATCAAGATCGAGGGCGTTTTTTATTTGCTTCTCTTCTTGATCTTCTCTCCCTTGAACTTAGAGAAGTCTTGAACCCAACTTCATTTTCCGAGTCGTACACATCTTTAAACGATTTCTGCGCGCGCACACACACACACACATGAATTTTCTTAAAATCAATTGTTGAGGAATAACGGTAAGACCACAATAGCAGTTAAAATGACACCGAACAAGATTGTGATCTTGATAGGCTATATTTATCTACTCTAAGAAATTAAGGAGCAGTTTCATAACAACACGAACCTCTCTGATCTCGGCAAAGCTAACGGCATAGAAGGTTACGACGGAGACTGCGACAATTCCAAGAACAGGGAGTGCGATATGACTTAGCCCTTCCATTTTCTTCTCTTCTCTGAACCAAACTTTGAAGATAAGGCTCTTGTGGATAAGGGCTCTTTATATAGTATCTGAATTCAACTCTCTCTTTTTTTTCACTTATCCTTTTAAAGACTCAAGATTAGCTTATGTCCAAACAATATTATTTGGACAAGAGAGAGAGAACGAAAGAGTACAGTGTTTATGAAACAATTAAAAATCTGAACTTAAAAGCAAGTAACAATCAACATCTCTAAAATGGTTTATGTTCTCACTACCATATAAGAAATACATGCTGAGTAAGAAGAAGAATCATGTAATTATTAGTTTCTGGGATACAACTTAAAACTGGTAAAGACTTCTATTTAATAACACAAATCAAATCCTAATGATGATTACAGAGAGAGGTGCAAGTTCAAGTGAACAGATTCTCCGAATAACCACCTTCGTAACTCGCTTCCTTTTCACCTTTGAATATATCTGCATCATCGAAACCTGATCACATTTCATTCAAAACACTTTTTAACAACTTCTCTCACACCAACATATTGGTCAAGATATTCACAAAAACTAGATTCTGCGAAGCTTTTACCTGAACCCAGATCTTCTGTTTCGTCGATAACAACAGCTACTTCTTCTGCCCTCTTGATGAATTCGAGTGACTTCCAGTCTGAGCTTCCATTTCCTTCTATACAAACTTGGTTTCTTGAAACCCAGTCTTCAAGAACTTCCATGTTGCTGTGTGATAACGGGTCTACAGTGTCATCTCCGCTGCTTTCGCTGCCCCTAGAGGAGACAGACAGATAACCATTTAAGTTCTGTTTTGAACAAAGACGGTGTAGTAATCGAGAAGAACAAAAGATTGCAACTTACAGTCGTCTGAGGCGCATGTTGTACTGAACAAATACAAGATCGCTAAGCCGTTGTCGCTCAATGGAGTTCTTTGATTCATATATTTGCGAGATTAGTGTCAGGTTTCTCCCTGAGCCAATCGATGAGCTGCATGTCTGACTCAGAATGCGTATCGCAAAACGTGACAGGTTCAAGCAGCTTTCTCCATATGTAGACCACCATTCAGCTACATGAATCAAACATTTTTAAGTACTTACAAAACACTTGAACATATGAAATCTTTATGAGATTCAATTAATAAGAAGAAAAAAATGGCATACCTGGAAGCATTGTGTCACGAGCTCTGATTGCTAAATTCCTTCCGAAAATACCAACAGCATTCTTGTATGAGTTTATGTCCTTAATGACAATATCTTGAATGTTGACATCAGGGACCAATTTCTCTATGCAATCAACAACAGCTAAATGGATCTCACTACGCATTTCTTCGTCGATGCTGTAGAAAAACTTTGGGTTCAGATAGAAACCAGCGGCATGCAAAGGTTGCTGCAACCACCACCTATCTATAATTTTCCAGTAGACTATGTAATCCTCCCTGTGAACCAGATGTGTCTTAATTGCTTCCTTTGCTCGGTACACTGCTGCATAGACATACCCCATTGCAGGCTTCCTTTCAGAACAAACTATCCTCAAAACCCGCAAAATCGGAGCAGATATATGGTTTGCCAATGTTAATGCCTTCCAGAAATTCTCATCATTGATAGTCTCAGTCATTGCTAATCCACCTGCTTCCTTCGAATATGAACAATCGTTCCACTCGGATGAAGTAACCATGGCCTGCAAATGGGGTTTAAGATCGGCAATTCTTCCCATTGTTGTAAAATTTGTGGCGGAACTGGTAAAGGCTGGTTGCACAATATCATTGCCATAAGTGAATTTCCTCACAAGATTCAAAACACCACTGTGATTGTAAATAATTCTTGTGACAGTTCGAGCTTGTTCGATAATTTCTCTTATCCAGTCCATCTTCCCAAATTCTTCAAGCATCTTGTCTATGCAGTGTGCAGCACAAGGTACCCAGTATAGAGAAGGATACACATCCATCAACTTTTTCCCCGCAGCAGCGTAATGATCTTCACATTTGGTAATAACTTGAACAACATTGGTATCGCCTATCTCTTCAACTACCTCCTTAAGTAACTCATACAACTTATCCTCAGAATCTAATATCTCCGATGCGTCAACGGATTTCAGAAACACTACTTTCTCGGGACAGTAAACCAAAAACTTAAGGATCATCGGGCCTTCGTTGGAGTTCAATTCCTGAACTAAAACAGAACATCCTGTCCTCTTCCACAGAGTTTTGCATTCATCAATCTCTTTCTTCACTTCCTCTACACAACTCTTCAAAATCCAACCTCTGAGGTCTTCATGAGTGGGAATAGAAACACCAAATCCTCCAGAAACAATCGAATCGATAAACGTTTGGAAATTAACAGAATTAGCCGCATCAAAATCAGCTCCAATATCAAAGAGAAACCGTCCCATCGCCATATGAACTGTTTTTTCGCGGTCTTTTGAAGACGGATGCACAATGTTCTTCACGCTACTAATAGCCACAGGAATCAAATTGTCCATATCTCGATCAATCAAATCACTCATATTGCTCACACCACCAACCTCAACATTAGCCAAATCATTCCTCTCAACATTCTTTCTACTCCTGTAAGTTCTCTGTTTCGTCCTCCCCGTGCTTTGACCAGCTACGACATCCGAACTCGGCGATTTAAACCCGTTATTCACATCAGAAGGAGCAACAACCTGAGTCTCAACTTCACAAGGAGGGAAATAAGCTATAGGCAATGGTTCAGGACTCGATTTACGTCTCTTCCTCTGACGTCTCACAGTACCATCAATACACTGCTGCAAGTAAAGACGAACCTCTTCAGGAACTTGATCACAGATCGTACCTTGTCCTTTCTTACCAGCAAGATGTTCCTTAACTCTTGTAATACCACCTCCTTTAAACATCTTCCGACAGTAAAGACATCTCATCTGAACTCGATCTCCATATTTGTAAACTTCACAGTGTTTCCACGCACTGTCTTGTTTCTGTGGTGTAAGAGCTACAGGCTCCAAATCTGAATCCATCCTACAAACTCGTACCAAAACAAAGAACCCATGAATTACATTGCTGAATTCAAAAACCCTAGATCCTCTAATCAAACATTACTACGAGATCAACATAGAAGAAGAACTCAGCTGCATAAAAAAAGCTCTCAACTTTCGCAAAAATTTTCATTGATTATACAAATCGGATTATATTGAATCAAACCCATCAAAGCAAAAGCTTTAAAAACGCGAAATTCTAAAACCCAGCGCACCAAAATCGTAAATTTATGAGTTTTTGAATAATCGTAAGAACAAAGAACGAACCTTTTTGGTTTGCAGGTTTGTGACCGGGTTTTGGTTACGGGAAGAATCGGTTCGGTAAAAAACTTGATAAAATTACGGTATAAGGACTTCGGTTTTAGGGAAGAAGAAGGTGGAATCGACCGGAGAAGAAGACTTTAAATCTGAGAGCGACGGAGGAATGCAATGTCGCAGAAAATTTTTGAGATGACCCGGCTCGTTAGGGTTCGAGAGGAGAAGAAGTTGGGCAGCTTTTCTGGTTTATAAAAACGACAATTTATTTATTTATTTTTCTTCTAAAATAAATCTCTTGATTTGGCTTAAACTTGTTTTTGTGGTTAAATCGGTTTTAATTTTAAGGACTAAAGTCGTGATTTGTATAAAGTATAAGGTCTGACATGATGATAAGTGACTTTCTGTGGGGTATATTCTAATTTGTCTTTTCAAACATAGAAATGATTTTGGGTCAAAAATATTGGATGAGATTGTATAATCTAGAGATATTTATTGTTTTTCAAAGTCTTATCATAAATTAATTAATTAAGGTAAAGTTGAATAATAAAATACAATTTTTTCATTTCATAAATTAATATAACTTTTTTTTAGTTATTACATTTGTTACTTGATTTTTTTTTTAAGTAAAAACATTATTATTTTGGATTCTTTTTTTTTGACAATGTGTTATTAGATTTTAAATTCAATTATGATTTTAGCTATGTAGCTTTTTATAATTAAAATTATTTTAAAATTAAAAAATTGTTATATTCGTATTCTTGAAAGAAAATTCCTTGCTCTACATCTTAGTACATATTTCTTTTTTGTTATTTTTCAGAAAATTCATAAGTAATGGATTAATGTTTAAACCAAAAATCTTCATCACCTCATAGCAACTTAGACTTTCCCTGAAATTCAATTTAACATAAAATAAATGTTAAGATAATATGATAGTGAACAATGAAGTGACAAAATGATCGTGGTCTAATGGTTTCATGTAGGCTTAGACCAAGAATAAATCAATGATCTTTTTGTTCGCATTGTTGCTTGCTATATATCTGAAATTCACCTTCTTGTTTCTGTCTCCTTACCTGAACCCATAAATAATTTCTACTATATTTGTTTTAAATCATCAAATGTGAACAAAAAGATGATTGATGAATTAGATGTGACGCAGTAGTTTGATTATGTAATTTTCTTGGCTATTGCTGATGTTAGATTGACTCGATGTGTTGTTGGCTATTGATTATGTAATTCGTCTGCTATATTTGTGTCAACTCATCAAATGTTGAGAGGATCTTCTTCTGTGTTTCTTTCATTGTGATATTTATACAATGGTCGTATGCTTTTTTAAGAGTTAGAAATATTTGTACAGAAATTAAAAATCACATAATAGTTTTCATGCTCATATATCGCAATAAGTCTCTATGATTGAACATGGAAAAGAAACAACTAATACAAAGTCAGTCCCTTCCTATGCAAACTCTTTACCATATCCTTCGTGTTATGTGATCGATAAACTACGAATCACACAATCTCGTCATCTTTTGCCACACTCACAACAAACATTTAACATTACGAAATTACTTCTCCAAATTTTCATAGGAGTCGCATAACTTTCTCCAAGGAGATTTGGTATATAACTCTAAAGTTACAGAACATACAACTTTGTGTTAGGCACTGCTAAATTACTTCTCTACAATACATCAACTGCTAAATTACTTCTCCTAATTCCTAAACTTTTATATTCATATCCAAGTTACTTTCCAATCTAAACACTCTATTTATAAACACCACAACATCATCATGAAATCGAGAATAACAACTCAAACATGCTTCTAAGAAGCTCTATGTTCCTACAAGTAAATAACAGAGACAAAGGCCTAATCTTGATTAATAGCAAGTAAAGATGATTAAAGCAAAATGATTATCAAAGAAACCCATTTCAATACTCTGAAATTGGAAAGCATCAATATCGCAAATGATCATAAGTAAAAGACAAAAGCCAGAATCAATTCCAAACCAAAATAGTCTTAAACAATAATCCAAACTGATTCTAGAACTAAACAAAATAGATAGTTATAAAATTCGATAAAGATAAAAACTCAAAGATTCTTCTTCAGAACCTGAGCTTAGTAAAGAACCACCTGTTCTTGCCAGTCTTGAACCTCTCCTCAAGCTTAGCCTTAGCTTCCTTAAGAGCAGTCACCTTCTTATCTTTACTCTTAAGAGCATCAAGAGTCGCAACTTCCTTCAGATCTACATCGAGTGTGTAACGTGTAGGCATCAGATGCTGGTAATTCACGAGTTTGATGAAACATTTCACTCGAGACTTCTTCGCCGTCTTCTTCGCTGAGTCTTTGCGGATGACTTTGCTTGGATACTTCTTCAGTCCGGCGACGAGGCAGTGTCCGTAACGACGGTCACTGGTTCCGTCGTCGAAGGATTTGATGATCACTGCCTTCTTACCGGCGTAACGGCCTTGAAGGAGGATCACGGCCTTGTTCTGCTTCAGAAACTTCACCATTGTTTCTTTCTCACACCGCAAAGAAGAAACCCTAATTGTTGAGACGATTGTCTTTATATAGTGTGCTAAGTAAAACCCTAATTTGATTTGCTCATTTCAAGATCGAATTCGGCCCATCTAAATGAGATGATCCTAAAAGGCCCATATAACTTTCCAATATCATTTTAGGCCCTGAAGCCACCAAATTCGAAATTTTTTTTTTGAACACCATTTTATATGTTTTTTTGGACATCGTTTTATATGTTTTGTAACTTTTGTCTTATAAAACTAAAGTCAAATTTCGTAAGATTCAAATACTACTAAACCCGAAAAGTTCTTGCTTTTCACTTGTGCTTTTTTTTCTAACCTCCTAAACAAAATATCCTCTTGTTTTGCTATCATGTCGTAACTTTTCTACTAGATTTTTTTTTTTGGTGAGTCAAACTTTTCTACTAGATTGATAACCGGAAGTGGAGTCCGTAGAAAATGTTTTTAAAAAGTTTATCTTTTATTGTATTAATTAGTTATATTTCTTTTTTGTTGGTGTTAGTATATAATGTATGTTAATTAGAGTGATTGGATTAAATAGTGTATATTTATTGTTAATTCAATATCGAAAATCATCTACATATTTAAATTAATCACCGTTCTATGCGCCTAAAGTTTATTAATTTAGAAGTTAAATTGTACATTTTGAAATGGTTTTAGTGTGTAACTAGATCATCACCCGTGCTACAGTACGGGTTAAATTTTATTTATTTTAGAATAAAATTATGATATATTATAATAGTTATTGAAAAAATATAATTAGATTTTTGTCAGTTCCTATATATAATATTAGAATAAATATATTTTTTTAAAAAAAATTATACTCATTTATGGATATATTTTTTTAAGATATGAAAACAGAAAATAAAATTATTTTAATAAATTAATATGGTCTGAACAATGAGCTAATTTATATTAACAACCACAAAATGAGATTGCATATAATTCAGTTAGATCAAAAATCAAAATATTATAATGAATCGCTTCAAAAACGTAGATTATTTTTAATTAATTAAGAAAGTTAGCTATTATTTTGAATTAATTTAGGAAATTCTTTTTTCAATTTCTAATTCTTTGGTTGTTGAAATAGAGATTTGTTTGAGGTAACTACGGAATTTACCAATTATTCGTGTAATCGAATATGTTATGAACATATATTATAATATATCAAATTCAACCCGTGCGTGGAGTCTATATTCTTATTTTAGAATCATAATGAAAATATTGCGTGCACAATCTATTATTCGTTATTTCCAAAATTGCTTGCACAATCAAATTTTCAAATATTTCATGGTGTCAAGCGTCAACATTATTTAATCTATCTGATCATATAATCTTAACATGCCGTTTATTTTAAGGATCATAATTTTATATCATATAATATATTACATTTAACCCTCCGCCTACTATAACTATTTTAAATTTATCTTTTTAGAAAATCAAATTAAAGGCTTTATAATTTTTTTTTAACTTTTTAATCTACTAAATATTTATGATATTCATTCAAATATTAAATTAAACTATTTTTAAATTTTCTAAATTAAAATCTTTAAAAATATTTCTTGTAGTATATAAAATTATGAATTTCAAAAAAGAATTATATAAAATTAAATAGAAATATTCAAACAGTTATAAGGATTATAACTCATTTGTTAATATAATATATTATATTTAACCTATTGCCTATTATAAATATTTGTTTTCCAAAAAATCAAATTAGAGTATTTATTGATGATATTCTTGAAAAATATCAAGTAGAACTAATTTTATATGTTGCTAAATAAAATATTTAAAAATCTTATTATTGTATATATAATAATACATTTCAAAAAATAAATGTATGAAATTGAATATAAATATTCAAATTCTGACCTGTTACTCAGTCAAAATTTTTGTTGAACTTATTTTTGGTAAAAAGAAATATATTACTCAAATGTGAATTTTTGATCCGTTAAATATTTTTCTTCATAGATTTAACAATTTATATTTGTTTTAAAAATTTGAAATCTTGGCATAAGCAGAAAAAATTTACTTTTTTTTTTGTTATATGGATGATATGATGATTTATTTGTTTTATAAAAATAGAATCATATAAAGATGAGTGTGAAGTATAATGATTAATAACAAATTAATATGGTAAGTTAGATATCAAATCTTATATGTTCATTTTGATTGGTCATTCTTTTTTTTTAAGTTAATAATATATTTTCATTTTTAATAATTAAATTAATTAAATTGCATAAATTAGTATTTGACTTGTTTATCCTTAATGAGCTTAATTAATTTATTCTTGAAATTTTTATCTCTAATGGCATTCGAATGTAATAACTTACAAAGAAGAAGGTTATTAAAGGGTAATTATAAATTGTACTTCCCAAATAATAGTATAGGATGTATATATATGTGAATATGAATCAAATTTGGATAATTTTCATGTTAATGACTAACTATAAACCAGCCTTTATATATTAAATGATTGCTTGGAGTGCCAATAGCATTTGCTTGCTTCACAATAACATCGACATCGGATGCAACATTCCTGTCACGTTTAATATAATCCAAAGACAAACTTATATCATATAAGATTGCTTGAGTAATTACCTGATAAAATTAACCGCAAGGCAACATATTTAAAGAGATACAAACAAACCGGGTTCCCACGGAACAAACTTAATTTGGTTTTTAATAGTCAAAATCGCAGAAGCTGGCAGTCCAACAACAAAGGGAGGTAGACCGCCAGGATCTTCGGTGAAGCAGACGGTCGAGCAACAGATGGAGGTAGACCGCCAAAAGTAGATTGCCAGGATCTTCGGTGAAGCAGGCGGTCAAGCAACACAGAGAGGTAGACCACTGGAAGTAGACTGCCGAGATTTTTGGTAAAGCAGGCGGTCTACTCCTAGCACTCTACCTCTTATGTAGCTGAACCGCATGCTTTATGTGAAGCATTTGTCTTCTTTTATGTTTCTTTGCACCCAAAGTGCCTTTTCCTCCAAACTGTAAAAAAACCTGTAAAAACTCGATAAAGGACTAACCGACTCTAAAAACACACTTTGACTCAATAAAATATATGAAATAAGAAAGAAAACAAAGATTCAAAACCGAAAAAAACAAGTTACATCAATAGAGACGAGGACCCAAAAAAGATAATCACCTTTCGTGTTTATCAATTGGACTATCTCCAAACAAACAATTTGAAGACTATGCGACCAAACCAATTGAAAAAACATGTAAAAATCCGAGAGCATCCATACTAAAAGACGATTGAGAAGATTACAGCTTTGCACATCCATATGTAAAATTTGGCCGTAACACTTTAAAAACACTAAAATCTAATGGCATCTTATGTAATAGTTTACCCTTCATAAAGTTATTTAATATGTAGTGATTCCCAATTAATAGTATATATATATATATATATATATCTGATCACTTAAAAGTTAAGGGGGTGTTATTGGTTCATATTTTACAAGGAATATTTTTGAAGACTTTAATAAAATTATAGAAAGTAATTAAACGAAATATTCTAAACTATTGCTAGAGAGTTTTCAATAATCTTGTTGATTAGTTTTTTAATAATCTTGTAAAGTTTTTCAAACAATCTCTCTATTTTGATGATACTTTTTATGATTTTATTTTGTGAAAAAAAATGTAAAAAGTCATAAACAAATAACATAATTGTAATTTAATTTATTAACAATCATAGATTCTTTTGTTTTAATTGAAACACAAAACTTTTCTTGACTTTATAAAAGTATGATTATAATAACTCTAGATTTATGAAAATTTTAGATTACCTTTTACAAATCTTATTAATAACACCAAACTTTGACAAACTTTCAAACAAATAAACTTAAAAAATGCAATTCTTACAAACAGATTAAGAAAAATATATCTTGAGACTTAAACTCTTAAGTCAATATGACAATAGAACTTATTGATGAATCTTCTATAATTACGTGTTGTTTTTCTGGTTTGTTCAACGACGACTTCAGTCTCATCATCCTGATACGCACGTAAGAAAATTGCAACATGCCGTCAAACAATTGCAACATGCCCCCAAACAACTGCCAATAGACAGATCATTAAAAACAAATTTGAACGCCGGATGAATATCTTGCAAATAATTAACGGATAATTAGAGCTAAACCATAAACATATATATAAAGAAGAAAAAATATGTACCCGCATATCTTGGCTGTTTCTTCGAGGTTCTTGGACTTAGTCTCCGTTGCTACTGCCGGAGGATCACCCACCACCGCATCTCTAGTCGGATAACCAATCGGCGGCGGAGGACTTGTGTACGACGACTCTGATGAAGTCTGTGAAGATCTTTGCACTGTGCCTGCAAAAAGATTAATTAATTATCTAATTGGTGTGTATAGAATAATTGTTCAAGATTATACGTGGCTAAAAAAGATTAATTATACGTCGGACATTGAACATGATTTTAGAAAATAATAGAAGAATTACCGGAAAAGTCATTGTGCTCGGATTGATTCATTCTGATTTGAGGAGTTGAGGAATGAGGAAGTGAGAATTATGCAGAGAAGAGAGTGTTATGGTTCAATAATTTAAGGAAGACGAATATTAGGAAGTTTTTTTAAATATTCTCTAAAAAAAAGAAAGAAAAGTCAATATTGAACAACAAAAACATCTAACTCATGGACAACTCACGGACGGACCTACCTTAGCCGAGGCAAGCTCATCAATCCTACCGTCAACTTGTGCCACACATATCGCAGAAACCCTTATCTCTCGAATCATGTCTCTAAAGCAACATGGTGAATCACAGCCGAATGGCCTGATGCAGAAATGGCTTTCGTCACGTACATGACGTAAATATTTTAATTTTTATACATTAATTTATTTATTTTTCACAACTATGTGAAAATAATTATAAATGAGAGGGCAGATGAGAACCAACAAAACACTGTTCATTTCTCTCATTTTTACTCGAGCGTGTAACGAGTAGGCATCAGATGCTGGTAATTCACGACCTTGATGAAACATTTCACTATAGATTTCTTCGCCGTATTCTTCGCTGAGTCTTTGCGGATGACTTTGCTTGGATACTTCTTCAGTCCGGCGATGAGGCAATGTCCGTAACGACGGTCACTCGTTCCGTCGTCGAAGGATTTGATGATCACTGCCTTCTTTCCGGCGTAACGGCCTTGAAGGAGGATCACGGCCTTGTTCTTCAGAAACTTCACCATAAGAAACCCTAATTGATGAGATGATTGTCTTATAGAGTGTGCTGAGTAAAACCCTAATTTGTTCATTTCAATATCGAAATTCGGCCCATTTCGAAAATATTTTTTAACACCATTTTATATGTTTTTTCTTGGCCATCGTTTTATTCGTAAGATTTTAGGCCCTGAAACCAACCACTAAACCGAAAATTTTACTTTTTTACTTGTGCTTTTCTTTTAACCTCCTAAACAAAATATCCTTTAATTTTCCATCATATTTTAATTTTTTTACTAGATTGATAATCCGTGTTGGAACCCGGAGAGATAATAATTTCAAAAAAAATATTTTTTACTGTATTAGTTAGTTGTATTATAATTTTTTGTTGGTATTAGTATGCAATGCATGTTAATTGTTATTAGAGTGATTGGATTAAATAGTGTATGTTAGTTTTTAATTCAATATTAAAAATCATCTCGATGTTTAGACATTGATTAATTGTTTTAGGAGGCTAAATAACTTTAAAGTTTAAAATACCTGAAGGCCAGAGGTAACGTTCTAACTTAATTTTTTATTAATTTAGAAATTATATTATACCTGTTAAATTGGTTTTAGTGTGTAATGTATATATCTATGTGAATATGAATAAAATTTGGATCATTTTTATTAATTTTGTAAAAATTAAATACTTAAACAGAAAATATGGACCACTGCATGAGGAGGACCCAAAGAGAGATAGTCACCTTTCGTGTTTATTAATTGGACTAATTCCAAATTATCTCCTTCAAAAAAAAAACATATCGAAGATCATGCGACCAAACCAATTAAAAAACATGTAGAAATCCAAGAGCCTCCGCATGTAGAGACGACTGAGATAATTGAAGTTCAAAATCACATCAAGCATGTAAAATTTCACCATATAACAGTCTCTTATTATCCAGCTGGATAATATTTTTTTGTTATCTTCTATTGATTGATTGGTGATGAAAGAAAAAAAGACAGTTTTCAACCTAATAATGGGATATTTGGATAAAGTCACAACCACTGTGTAGCGCGAACCGAGCACATCCTTTTAGTTCACTTAAATATATATATGATCACTAGCTTAAAACTGTAAAGCGAAACACAACCATACTATCGTCAAATAATATCTTTAAGGAAGACGAATATTAGGAAGTTTTTTTTTATTATTATTCTCTTAAAAAAAAAAAAGTCAATATTGAACAACAAAAACATCTAACTCGGGGGATGTGCCTTTAGTCAAATGGTTAAGTCCATTTGACTCCGCCTTCTCCACCGAAATTCGACTCCAATAAGTCGCGTTACCCCGCGTAGTAGGGATTGACTATGGATCGGGTCTTGTCGATCCAAAGATGTCAAAAAAAAAAAATATCTAACTCATGGACAACTCACAGACGGACCCAGTGGCGGATCCACCAAGGAACTAGGTGGGTCAGTTGACCCAGGTTAAATGTTCAAATATATTTTAATGTACAGGAATCATTGAAGTATTGGTAGCACAGTTGGTTTAGTCTCATGCTCTTGACACCCCTAAATTTGGGTTCAAGTCATCTCACAGACAATTTTTGTTTTGTACATCTTCAATATGTTTACTTTCTTTTATATTTACATCTTTTGTTTTACCATTTTCTTAAAAATCACAGCATTTATTAGGATTTGCATATCTTTTTAATTAAATTATGAAAAATATAAATATTTTAATAAAATTAATTATAAGATACGGTTTTAACAAAACATTATGACCCCGGTAAAAATTATTCCTGGATCCGCCACGGACCTACCTTAGCCGAGGCAAGCCACACCGATGGTTGAGTTGAGAGTGAGAAATGGACGGAAGCATATTCAAGCTCATCCATCTTACCGTCAACTTGCCACACTATATATCGAAAGACCCTTATCTCTAGACTCATGTCTCTAAAGCAACATGGTGAATCACAGCCGAATGATCTGATGCAGAAATGGCTTTCGTCACGTACATGACGTAAACGTACATGACGTAAATATTTTAATTTTTATACATTTTTTTTTTCACAACTATGTATTATGAGAGGACAGATGAGAACCAACAAAACAGTTTGTTCGTTTCTTTCATTTTTACTCGAGTAGGCATCAGAGATGCTGGTAATTATTATTTTTAAATGTTTATTGGACGGAAAATTCTCGGGACATAACGTATTTCCCATCCTTAAAAGTGCATATTTTTATACTATTCAAAAAATTTCTAACAGTTTTATTAGAGATGTTAAATCCGGCTTGGATTTGGTTTTAGTTTGAGTTATTCCAATGTATACAATGTGTAAAATATCATATTGATTTGGTAGAATAACGATATTAAAGTAACCATAATTTAACTATGGTTAGAATAACGAAATTAGAATAACGATATTAAAGTAACGAAATTATTTGAAAGTATTTTATAGTTCGGTTGTTGTTTTTTTTGTGCAACTAGTTCAGTTGATTACTTCTCGGCTTTAAGCGAAAATGTAATAGGTTTTACACCTCCATATTGTTTTTTTTTTTGCTTCTTTTTCTGAACTATTTTAATAAGGGGAAATATTTTAAATATCTATTTACCTTCCTCGCACGTTTTCATATTTTTTGAACTTTAGTTTCTTTTTGGCTTGTTTTCTGCCATTTACATCTCACTTTTATTAGATTTAACAAGAAAGTGAAAGATTTTATATCAAACATCTTATCTTGAGTCTAAAATCAAAACATCGAATTTTTTCATTTTTTATTCTTCCAATTAGAGCACAATCGCAGTGGATCCCTACCGCCAAGAGAATAACAGGCGCTTCGGTGGTCGCGTTTTTGAACAAGTTAAAGATCAATATAGGAGACAAACGAGATGGTTACTCATTAATAAATTTAATATGTGTCAAAAATTTATTGATATACTTGACACGTTTCGCGATCATGTGAGCTAACAGCTTAGAAAACAAAACTTTATATAATAAAATATATCTGCTGGATCAATAATTTGGACTATACGTCCCAAGTTTTTTTCACATATCGAAACATCTGAATCCAAAGATATATTAAAAATGTTAAAATTGTTACGAAATTTTTCGAATACAAAATAAATCTTTGACAGGAAATTCATCATTTAGTTCAACAAAAATAAGAATAAGCACTCGATTTCGCTGGTACCACCCAATCGAATGTGGAATTATTATTTTTACTTATTCAATAAAGGAATTGTCATTTTCTAGGTCAACTAACTAAAATTTAGTTTTAAAATAAAATAAATATGAAAAAGTATCATTTGGGATCAAATTATATATGGGTTTCAGTTTTAGTGGAAATTGTTGATAATAAATTATAATATTAATAAACAATTAACTGATTTTAAAGAAAATTTGTTGATCTTAAATAGTATATTTTATATATTTAGTTTAAGGGAAAATCACATTTTTAACCCTGAAAGTGTAACTGGATAGCACTTTAAACCTCGAAAGAATTCTACTAACACTATAAAACACCAAGATTGTTTTACTAACACTTTAAACCTTCAAACTAACTTTTCCGTTTACAAAGTTATAAAATATGATGTAACAATCAATTTATGTTTGTTTAATATATATATATTTAATTTAAATTTTAATTAATTTTATTATTTATTACGATTTTGACGATAAATAAATAACGTAAAAAAAAATCATCATCTTCGACTATTCACCGTCCGACTACAATTTTTCAGATTTTTATGGTCGGACAGTGAGTAAATGAAGAAAATAAAGTTTTTTTTTGTTTTTATAGATTTTTATTAATCGTAATAAATAATAAAATTATTTAAAATTTAAATTAAATTAAATTAAATATATATATATATATATATATTAAACAAACCTAAATTGATTGTTCTATCATCTTTTATGGTTTTGCAAACAGAAAAACTAGTTTGGAGGTTTAAAGTGTTAGTCCCACAATTATGGTGGTTTATAGTATTAGTAAAATTCTTTTGAGGTTTAAAGTGCTACCAGTTACATTTTGAGGGTTAAAAATGTGATTTTCCCTTTAATTTAAACTTGAATTTTGGTTCAGGTCTGTTTCCTCTACAAATTTATGCCAATTTTACCCTTATATGGCCTGTTATTCAAAACATAAAATTTGTTGCACATCCAGCATGTAAAATTTGACCATATAGTCTACTATTGTCCAGCTGGATAATATTTTCACTTAAAACTTCAAAGCGAAACACAACCATCCTCATTTCTCACTATCCAAATATTTTTTTATATGTTACAGCAATAGAATTTGGACGAAATCATTAATTCCGAATTGTTAATGAGTCCCATGCAAGGATCATTCAGTGTTGATCGGAAACAAGGCGTAAGAACACTAAACACACAGTTTTATATGACTATCTTTTTTTTTGGCTTTTCTTTGATTTATATAAAAACAAAATACACGAAGCAAATGGGGATCATATATGGATCTTTTTCAAACAATGAAGCAAATAAACTTAAAAAGGCAACGTGGGAATCCTTACAAATTAACGACTATATACATATATAATGATGGAAGTTCTATTACGTGTTGTTTTTCTGGTTTGGGCAAGGACTTCAGCCTCGTCATGCTGATTTAATCACCACCTCCACCTGGTCCGTCTTGTATGTCTAGTTCTTCTAGGTTTTTTGCGATACAGTTGCAACAACTCTTAATACATCTGCCAATAGTGTAGACAGACAGATCATTAAAAAGAAAGTTAAACGCCGGATATAACATCTTGCAAATAATTAACGGATAATTAGAGCCAAACTATAAACATATATGTAAAGAAAGTAAATTAAAATAATATATATACGTACTTTAATATACCCAATATGGCTTCGGGGGCGCGGGGCGCCCTTGGACTTTGTCTCCAGTGCTACTGCCGGAGGATCACCCACCATCGCATCTCTAGTCGGATAACCAATTGGCGGCGGACTTGTGTACGGCCCTGGTGAAGTCTCCGAAGGTTTTTCTACTGTGCCCAAAAAGATTAATTAATTCTATAAAATAATTGTTTATGATATAATACATGGTCAAAAAAATTATACGTCGGACATTAATAATCATGATTTTAGAAAACAATTGAAGAATTACCGGAAACGTAATTCTGCTCGGATTGATCCATTCTGATTTGAGGAGCTGAGGAATGAGGAAGTGAGATTTATGAAGAGGAGAGAGTGGTGTGGTACTAATTTATAAGGTAGACGAATATTAGGAAGTTTTTAAAATTATTCTCTAAATAAAAGAAAGAAAAGTCAATATTGAACAATAAAACATCTTACTCACGGACAGTCCTACCTTTAGCCAAGTGGTAAGTGATTGTTGATTAGTGAAAAAACTTAGAAGCACAGAATTGCGAAGAAGAAACAGATACAAGGGAAGAGGAAAAGCAACACCAATGGTGAGAAATGGTTTGATGCAGAGATGGCTTACGTCAGGTACATGACGTAAAACATGAGGAATCTCAATTATTTTGTTCCTGAATCTGTCTTTTAGCACCTCGTAAACACTCATGTTTTTTTTACAAATGTATTCCTCAAAACTTTGTAAAAATCAATGAGAAAAAGCTGAGGCTTAGGAAAATTCTCAGATAGTATAGAATTGCAGAATAAATCAATTGTCAGGATTGTTATTAAGATCCGTTCTCGAACTCGAAACACTATTGTAAAATCAATCAACTCTCGTTGTAGAGATTATCTATGTCTCAAATCTAGAATTTCAAATCGCTTTGCGAATACTAGAATCTAGACAAGCATTAATTTTAGGTTCGATGTAGTCCACAAAAATCCCTAAACTAACTTAGCATGTGGCACAAGTTTGAAAACACGGAAACTCTCATTCTCTCTACCATATTGCTCTTATCATTCAAACCAAAATCCATATGCTAACAGATCGCATCAAATCGAACCAACATGTACTTCTCTGCATGCATTCGCAAAATCCCAAATTCAAACCATATATTTACAACATTATCCATAGCCCTCATTGTTGGGTCCTATTACTAAAACAATGTTTAAGAATCGTCTAAACTCATTCTCGTACTATACCTTGATAATTCAACCATTTTCACACACTTTAGTACTTGTTCTCTCCCTCTCCCTATACTGATTCTTTTTCGAATCATTCTCTTTTTCTTTTCTTTTTTATCTTGCAAAGATGTAGGTGAATAATGGCATTAAGGGGGATTTTCCTAGCAACACTTCCAACCTATATGTGCAAGTTTTAAATGTGAATCTGTGGATGTGATATTGACGAAGTTGAGGTCTGTAATTGACATTTGTGTAATGATTAAACTTGAATTAATTCTTAATATTGATGCTAGTGAGTTTTCATCTAAACGAAGTAGACTAAAACATATATCATAAGAATCCATAAAAAAATATTATTATTGAAGCATGATAACCAAGTTTCCATCCAAACTCCGAAAAGAAAACCAGAGTAACACAACCCAAATTTTAAAACAAACAAATCTGAAACTAAAAGACCTACGATGTGTATGACTTCTTCAATATGCCTTTGAACCGTGAAAAATAGTTTTGGCTTTGTTCTTTGTGTTTATTGGTGCTATG